ACAGTTTAGAGTTACAGCTGAATGATGTATGCATTTGATGAATTGCAAAATAGTGAGGTCCACGACATCCTCTAAGGAGAAAACAATATCACCTCGCAAGCTTCTTTCGACGAGCGTAAATATTGTGTTCCTCGGAAAATATATTCCTTACAGCATGCTGCGTGCATAAAACAACCAAACTCAGTTCGGCGAAGACAAGGCAAAATGACTAACATTATTAAAGAGTCTGCGGAGAGATTAAACCTTTTAATTTAATTTACAAAATGCATGGCCACTAAATTCTCATGAACCCCAGGACATCATTCATAAAACAGCACATGGATATTTATAGTCTGTTATAAATTGAATTTTTTTAGCTATAAGATGTTATGCTCATGAATTTTGTTATAATGTTTTCCGTTGGTCATGAAAACCACGAGACAAAAGTGTTTTCATGCTAAGTCAGTCAATCTTCATACTCATTTCAATTCGAATACGTCTCCTTAGAGACGTATTAAAATTGAACTGACAATGTTCTGTACTCCTAACTTATTTACTGTGAATGAAATAAGAACTTTCATTGAATAAATGGCAAGAGAATTTGTAGGGATATTTTCTCTTTGTTGACATTATTATGAAAAAAAAAATAAATGCAATGTTAAAACAAATCAAAGTTACAATCAGGAAAATCTTTACAGGGTCAATAAAAAACGCCACTCGTTAAAATAACATTTCGTTTCGTTATCTTAATTTCCTTTCAGTCATGAGATGGCACCGGAAAGTTTCTAGAATGTGCGTGCTCTGATTAGACCGCTCACTGAAAATATATGCACAGCTAATCTTTATTGGTGCGATAAATAAATCTTAGCAACGTGTATGCATCAATTTTTGCGTGAAACTCAGTAGAGCTGCCACTGACACCTTAGTGAGTCTTCATAAAGAGTTTGGCAGGAACCCGAGGAAAGAGTTGCTACAATAACAAGAAATCTCTTTCGAACAGAAACTGCGGATAACCCAGAATTAAAGACATTTCTAATAGCTTCCTCTTTGTAAACATCTTTGAATTTACATTCCTTCGCTTGAACGTGCAATGCTTGAAGATATTGATCCATGGTTTTTCTAGCCTGTTGAGTTCTGGTTGCAAGTACATGCCTGGCGTATATCTATCTTTTTTTCATGGACGAAAGCACGCTTTAGAATGTTAATAGCTTCTTTACAACATACTATATATCTCTATCATAGATTTTTCAACTCACGTTTCAAGGTTGATCATTTCAAAATGCGTTCAGTTAGGCTAATCACCAATAAATATCCATTTGCATCATAAAATATTCTTGTATCTTTAAATTATTGAACATTGTTTGAAAAGGTTATACTTTATAGGGATTTTCTAAGCCTAGCTTAGATGTGACACAAGGCCGAAAGTATGGGGCACTCAATGAAGATCGAACTCACTATTTACTCGTAATTGATCTAGCGGGACAAGGCTTGCTAACTATTATTCCACGTCGAAGTGCTCAAAGGTTATATTTTATGTGCCGTGTGACTTCAAAGCGTGGACAAAAATTGCTGTCCACAGCTTCCTCTCCTTTGTAATTCTGCACAACATTTGTCGCCTTACCATTTTTCCAGTGCCTGCTCTGCCCGACATTTACAGATATTCGCTGTTTCCCTCTGCCATTCGTATCGATGACAAAAGGCACAGAGAGAAACAACGAGCTAACTACATAACCAATGATTGACAGAACATGGATTAAAAGGGATATAAATGGGATAGACATTGTTTAAATCTACAAAGGAAAGGAATCTGTGCGGAGTCATGATCGCCCACGTTATGAAGAGACACATAAAAGAAGTACATTGTAGACGCGGGCGTTTGCTACGAATGAAACGCTTCGTAATTTCTTTACTTGAATGATATTGTATAGGAAACAAGGACAAAGGAATCCAGTCGTTTTATTCTAAGAATAAACAAAGTAAATAAAACATTTCTGATACATCATTTCAATAATTTTCTTTCATATTCCTAATTTATTTCGATTAAGTTGTATTAAAAACCACCGTAAGATTTCTGTAAGGTATTTTTAAACATTTCGGTACCTTCCGATTCAGCATTTGATATCAAAATCAGGTTTGTATAAATATTGCACAAATTCGAAGTGTTTTCGACTTTTATAAACTAAATATTTGTTTTATTTTGTAATTATTTACATATTATTAATGATAATATTACCAGCTTTTAAATTAGAGTTATTAAATATCTATATATAAAATATCCGTCTATCACACCCTCTAAAATAGCCTTACATTGACCGATCAAAACCAAATTTGGTGAAGAACTACAAACAGGTAAGGGGGTAAAAAGTACAGTTGTTTTTCCTAGGGAGCGTAGATATTTTCATTAATTTGGGGGGGAAAATTCAATGTTTTATTATTTAACATACAAAATAGTCTCACTATTTTAAAAGCACTTTAAGGATTAAAATAACAAATACTTATTTCTTAAAAATGAAATGTTTTTTTGCATATCTTTTCTTTAAATTCTTATATATACAAGAATGCAGTTTCCAGTTCGTCTTGAATTGCGATCATTAGGTTCGAAGTTGTAGGTAAACTGTCTGAAGTTCATATTTTTTTATATTTTTCTACAAGTACTTTCGACTTTCCAGTCATAGTCTAAACTTCGACTATAATACTCAACATTTTAGCGACGTAATCAGATTAACGATTAGTAGTGAAAATTTAGATCGATTCTCACCGTGTGTCCCATATTAATGTCCTTGTACCAAGCTTGGTTTACTATATATCTCTTCTATTTCAAGATTGCGAAATCTTTTTTTCTTCAGTTTCTATGCCTATGACATATCACTTCAGAACGTAGTTAGTCTACTGATTCATTTCTTTTTAATTAACCCTGTGTTTGTCATGACATCTTGAAAAAGATACGAGTATATGCAGCTTACTTAAAGCTATATTTTTAAAAAGTTCATACAGCAATTTTTTTTAAATATAAATTTAAGTAAGCTGCTTAAACCAACTGAAATCAGTTGTTTTGAACAAAAACAATTCGATTTTGACATTTTAGGTGTTTTTCGTAACTTTGCATACACCGATTTTTTTTTAACAAGAATCCAGTTTCCAGATCGCCCTTTTCAAGAACTATAAACAAATCACAAGGCCAAACGCTTCAAAAAGTTGGAATTTGGCTCCAGAAAGAAATATTTGCGCATAGCCAGTTGTATGTTGCATGCTCAAGCGTAAGAAATCTTAAGAATGTATTCTTCGCTGTTAAAAAGGGAAAAAATACTATTTACCATGAAGTTCTATAAAATTAAATTAAATTAAAGAAATTATTAAACCAAAACGTAGGGTTTATGTCAAAGTATTTATTCAAACAAATCAGCTTATTCAAATTTCATCGATTGGTTAGCGAAATTGAATGAAACGTAGTGTTTGTAAATCTCGACAAAAATTGTTCGCGATAACTTCAACAATACTAAATACTGTGAGGATTTCAGCACGCGTTAGCGCGTTGCAAAAACTCTAGTAGTAAAAAAAATGCAAAACCTTCTAATATTATTATTTGTAATAACACAATAACAACCAAATCAAACATCAAGAAAATAATGTTTGTATTATAAAAATCGAAAGCACTTTTGAATATTAGTACAACTTTGATATTGATGTCAAACACCGAGCCAGAAAGTACTACAAAAAAAGATTGCTCCCCTAAAATACGTTAACAATCGCAACAATTTTTCTTCCCTCAGGTATGGGTTAAATAGTAGAACTTGTTTGGTAACCAGTGTAAGAGAACGATAATTCTGAATGCTAAAACTTCAAAGAAGACAACCCCCTCTCTTCAAGATGCCATGACAAAATACGATTAATTAAAAAGAAATGAATATGTGGAAATAAATGGTCACCTACGTCCTGAAGTACATCTTACTTATTATAAAACGCAGATTGTGTGTGTGTGTGTGTGTGTGTGTGTGTGTGTGTGTGTGTGTGTGTGTGTGTGTACGTTTATATATTGGATAGGATTTCCTACATTTTTCAACCGATTTCAACAAAATTTCACAGGACTACGTAAAATTACCTTGCGGTGGTTCTAACAGCGCCCAAAATTGGAAAAACACAATTGTTTTTGCACGAAATCAATTTGAAAACACGATTAAGAGACATCATCACGAGAATGAAAGGGGGACAACTCATGTCGAGTTATAGTTATAAAACCCAGTTTGTTTGTGTGTGTGCGTGTGTGTGCGTTCGTTTATATATGGGATCGGATTTCCTATATCTTTCAACCGATTTCAACAAAACTTCACTTTTTTTTGGCAGGTAGTGTTTCTTATTGTCTTGCACACTTTTTTTCTTTATTTTTACATTCAGAATGCTTTAAAAATTCCACTTACAAGACAATTGTTTATAATAAAATTCTATTCAATCGGTAGACTCATAACGATTGAAAACAATGTTTTTGTTTGGGTTTGACCAATTCGTAAAAAAAAAAAAAAACTAATTAAGACATGCGTGTCCGTCAACCTTAAACAATAATCTTTGTCAATTTTATTTTTCAGTCTTTATGATGGTCGATACTTGATCTATCTCTTACTGTTACATCCCCGGGCAACGCCGGGCTCTACTGTTAGTGGCATATAAATAGAGACTGAAGAAAAAAAATTCCGCAAACTTGAAATAGAAGGAATATATACTAAATCAAGCTTGGCACAAGGACATTACTTTGGGACAGATTTTGAGGATCGATCTCTATATTCATTACTAATGACTAATCCAACAATCTCGCTAATCAAAAACTGATGCTTAGGTACCCGCAATCTTGTCACAAAGTTGGTCACACACACACACACACACACACACACACACACACACAGAGATAGATAGATAGATAGATAGATAGATAGATAGATAGATAGATAGATAGATAGCGAAAGACTGAGTTAATTTTATCGAAAAAGAATGGTTGTTGAAAAATATAGTGTCAAATTTAGGACCGGCAC